GGGGGGGGGGGGGGGGGGGAGAAGAATATAGCGGTAGTTCAGCTGTTGACGCTTCGGCTCGTGTGATGTCGCATGCCAACAGCAAGAGGAACGAGCTGCCCGCCCCAACAAGCAAGGTTCCAAGCCCGTCTACAAACACCGATCATGCCCTCGCATTTACGTCTCGCTGAGACTGAGATCTGTCAAATCCATTGGCCACCCTGCGAGTTTCGTAACGGGGTCGACCCCAAATCAACCAAACAAAAAGACCGCACTTCCATGGCCGCGAGGACTCGCCTCATATCTTGGCCAGCCGGTAAGCGAGGTACCATGCAACACACACAACGTGAATAGACGGTGTGTTCGTGCTGTTAACCCGCTACATACGCATATCATGCTGGTGCTGGTGTGTTTACCTCGAGCAGCCGGTAGGCGAGGCCAACGTCTTCCAAAGAAACACACACGCACCGCCTTGCACGCACACACGCTTACCGCCGTTGGAGATCTTAGGAGCAACCGGATCCATGACAAGCACTCCTGGCGCGGCGGCGGTGGCGGAGACGTAGTGCGACAGGGTGACCTTGAGCGGTAGGTCCTCACCCCTCTGGAGGCTTTCGTGCTGATCGACGACGTAAACCTTGCGTTTGAAATTAGAAGCGATGGGGGCGGTAGATACGAGTGTCAGAAGGTAAAAAGCAGAGACCGGAACGGTTCTTCATGTCAAGACATCAACAACAACAACAACAAGGTTTCAGGTCATGGGGGCGAGAGAAAAAGAGAGGTTTTATTTCATCGCGAACGGAGCGTATTTTGACGTGTGTCCGCACATCTAGCTTGTGATTTGGTACTACATGTACTGCTGTGTTCGAAGCTTGATGTCGCAAGGAGTCAGCTCATGTTGGTTTTGATCAAGAGGACCAGATGCGGCGCGTCCTACGGGGTCAGACCGACCTCGAGGCTCCTACAGCAAGGACAGAAGTCGCAACAAGAGGCCCTCCATGTGGAACCCATGGAAGATCCCGCCTCCCCCCCCCCCGGACCAAGATTGACACGCAGGATAGCCACATTGCGTGGCTCACTTGCAGCAGTCTACTAATACTATGTATAGGAATAAGTGTGTCCATAGTAAAACCCATTTACTCTTCATTGTATAGGTTTTCGTGCCGCGTTCTAAAAGCCATGTAATACTCTTTTTATTGCATAGGCTTTAGTATAATAGGCCATAGACTAGATCCTATACCATACAACAGAACCCCCCCCTCCTCATGACCACGATTGACGCCTAGCCTGGGGGTGGTTCATAATTTCCACTATTTAGCTCTGTGTGGGATGCGCGCGCGCTGAAAATAGCGCGCGAAAAAATGTCGAAACCCCGGGAATTTGGTCAAACGTTCCCCACCCGGGGACATATAAGGTCTCCCCCCCCCGCGACCAAGATTTACACGCAATCTGGGGGTCTTCCATGGTTGTCCCTTGGTCGCAACGAGGATGACAAACAACGACAGCCAGACCACAACCACACCGGCTGCCAACAACAACATCGACAATGACGACAAGAACACCCATGTCGTCTCCGAAAGTAGCCATCGGTTTACCGTGGACGGGAGAGGGAAGTGACGAGAACGTCGAGGGGAGAATGGAAAACGCCTGGAGCATTGGAGCACACCCACCCTCCCGACAGCGAGAAATTCTCACATAATACGCCGTCACTTTTTGAGTGAAATGCGGGCCAACAATGCGAGCCAAAATAAAATCGTTGCCCATCATTTGCTGCCGTGGCGCGCATGTTCTTGCGCCTCCCCCCCCCAATATCTCTAGGATCCTGTTGGCTCCCCAAAAACCCCTACACCTTGTTCTCACGATGATGGCGTCACCCTCTTTTCTCGCTGCTTGTGCATGTTGCAAGAGAAATTCCTGCATTACTGCCGCAGCACCTACAATATGTGTGCGCAGGTTTTTAAATGTAGGCACCTACAATGTGTGTACGCGGGTGTATTAATGTAGCCGCATCTTTCTGACGCCAGCCGTCTGCACTTTCCGGTGTACAAAGTGACGCTGCTGTCTGCTGTATCAACCCGGGTCATAGAGCAGTACGGAGGTGACTCCGGGACATGCCGTGAGCTTCACCACAAAAATGGAAGAGCAACAACTTGCGTCTCGAAAGCTTGCCGGTTTCTTTTCCGGATGACTGCTAAATTTCAAATTTCGAGCAGGAAGTCCGAAGTTTGCGCTTTAGCTACACAGCAGTAGCATGCATCGGACACGCACGCCTCTTTACTAAAGCGTGGTGTGTTGCTCTCCCGCTACAAGTATTCCTTCCCGCGATACGCAACTGCACGCAGCGATTAAGGCCCAGATTAACAAAAAAAAAAGAAAAAAACGTCAGGCTTGTCAACACACGCGCGCGGGTAAACGGCGGATCAAATGCCAAAGGGAAGAATCACATTCCACATTCCGCTCAAAGCAAAATGTATTGAGACCTTTGCAGCGTCCTTCTCCGTTTTATGTTTGCTCGTTTTTCTTTCTCACGGGCCTGGTCAACTCTTACCTCGAACGTAAAGTAGGTGTCGGCGTAGGGGTACTGCGGCGGCGCCGGGCGCACTTTGAGTTTTAGCCGGGAAGGCCCCCCGATGGTGGACTCATCGATGGTGTCGGTCCTGTTGTTCAGAGCTACGCCGAAGTCGCCCCCTCCCGGAGCCGTGGGTGGCAGCGACGCCAAGTCGTCCGCGCTCATGATTGCTGCTGCCGGTTGTGTTTGCCTCTTTTGGTCCGGCTGCTGCTGTCCGCGCACAAGCCTGCGGTATGTGGCCACAACAGAGAATCGATCGCCGCGCATGTCATGTGTGTGTGTGCAAGATGATACATATATACCCCGAGAGCCGGGGAATTGCCACAACAGGAGCAGCACCAAAAACGAGCAAAGAGGGGTGATCGGGTGCGGCTCGGCGCCGGGGGAAACGAGTACCCAGGACCACGAATGTGGACAAAACAACACACAGTGGTCCAGCGTTACACAGGGAAAGGTTGGCGCCACACGTAGCAGTTGCTGCCGTCCGGTTATGCCGGCGGCAGGGGTATGGGACAACCGCAACAGCAGCAGCACATCTGTCTGTCTCTCCTCCACGCTAGCGAGTGGGCAAAGCGCTGTAAAATGAGTGATGGAAAGCAGACACCCAATACTCAACCCCGCACCTGTGCCGCGCCCCGGCAGTTGTCGCGAAAGGAAGCCGACCAGAGTCCGTTGGGACTTGGCACAGAAAACTTTATTTGTCGTGTAGGCTCTCGAGTTTGGGGGGGCTTGAGAGCTTTCCTCCGGTGGCAGCAATTTCTGATAACGGATAGCGCATAGAGGAAGTTTCTGACTTTCCTTGCTCTCGCGTAGCACGCTTACATACGTCTCTCGATCGCGAAACGCCTAATTGCACCGCAGCGGGGAGGGGATTAATGTGTCCCCCCCCCCAGGTGTTTGTACATGTGTATACCGTGCAACGAGACAGCTCTCAATCGATGTGCTGGAACGCAAACAGTGAGGCTTCGGGGACGCACTCGTGTAGCTACTGAACTTGACCAGACGTATCTGTTTCGATGTACTGCTGTGCATTGCAGACTATTTATTGTGAGGTGTGAACCAAACTCGATTTGAATTTAGTTGCCCGGAGTCCTGGGGGCTACGTGGTTCAGCAAATCTCATAGGGTAGCCCGTGTGCGGGCAAGTAACACCGCTTGTAGAATCAAAGACCCCACGCCGCAGCAGACACACAAATTATTGTGCGACGAACCGAGAAGATGATGGCTGCTAACGAACAGGGAGTGCAAGGGAATGCAGCAGGCGAGAGAAAACAACGAGTCGGCGTATTCGTCGATGTCGAGGTGAGAGTCAAGAAGTTCTAGAAAACGATCACCGTGTTGTGTGTGCTACAGCAGTACTTCGGGTATGTTTCAGAGTCTCCCCGTCTTCCTCACAGCCGACACAATAAAATTATTGCCTAGGACCAAAACTAAAGAGCGCCAGGTGTCGTTGGTGAAAAACGACCGAGTTCCGAGAACATCAGGGGGGGAGGGACGAGCGCATTGTGCTGCTTGGTAAGGCCGGTAAATGCTTGACGTTCCGTGTACGATTTCGTTCTATATTGGCAACGGTGCTGGATACCAGTTTCCACTGAAACTTTTAGGCAACAGCAACGACCGCGCGTCCATCTCACCCATCTCCCCCGTTCAGGCGACACACACAAACACAGATGAAGGGCTACCTATGAGCTTGCAGAGATATGAGTATGGAGAGGAAATTCGTCGTGTCAGTGCTGGGCTTGCCCATGTGCCACCGCGGTGTTGACGAGGCGCATGGGGTAGTGTTCAATTCAGACCCGATAGCAGTAGTAGTCAGGCCGACTTCTCTGTGTCATCGTCTCGAATGATGGGTTCATTCTTATATTTTTTTAGGCACAGACTTGTCTAATTGGCGAAACATCAGGTTGACTGTTGTGTAATTTTTACCCGTGTCTCGATGGGTTCTCTAGTTTGGAAGGGGGCCTCGGCAGCTAGCGAGCTCCCTCTATGAGGGGTCGTGATTTCATTATTTTTAAGGTTTCGTGAAGTCTTCGGCTTCGCGGTCGACGAGGGAAGGGGATGGCTGAACGCTTGTGGCGATAACAACTACGGCGAGCATCGCAGGGGGAAAGGCGGGGCAATAAACAAAAACAATAAAAAAAGGTAGAGGTGGATTCGTTGAAACCTCCTCTCCTCTTCGTGTGACCCCGACCGATACGTCAGGTACATCCGCCAAAAGGCCTGTAAACCGGCGCCAGAATAGATGTGACGCACACACGCGCACTCCCTCGTTTACCATATATGACACAAGATAACACACCTACATAAGAAAGCACACCCCCCACAGAATACGACACCCCGGTGATAGTTTTGGGCGCTTCTGACAAACCATCGATTTATCACCGGGGGTACATAAGATAGCACACCCCAGTGATATTTTTAGTTACGCCGCATATGGTCACGGGCCCCCTCCTTCTTTATCACCGAGGTGACAGCATCTGCCCTGGGCAATCACACACACAACCACGTCAGCTGTGTGCGGGGAAACACCCCGCATGGAGACCCCGAACAACATGAACGTGCAGGCAGAGCAGAATCTGTGGCCACCGCCAATCATCGTATCGGTCGAGGTACCTTCGAATTGTATTTTTTTTCTTGCTCGATTCAAGCCCGTATTTTGTTTCAAACTTTTTTTGGCGATGGGAGGGTTGAGTTATCGCCGAGGTAATGTGCTCAGGAGTTTCGTCACCTCGGTTGAGCCCCTTTGTTTTTCCACGCCCCTTTAGGCAGGTCCCTACACTGCACGTGTACGTGCAGGCATGGCTATCACACACCCTTTTATCACACACCTTCATTTATCACACCCCAAAGCACACGCTGTGGCTGTTCGGACGTGCTATCACACCCCCTTTTCATCACACACCCTCATTTATCACACCCCCAAACACACGCTGTGGCTGTTCGGACGCGCTATCACACCCCCTGTTTTATCACACCCCCTTAGGGGCCCCTGCGAGCTGCACTTTATCACCCGGGGTACACAAGATAACACACCCCCCACAGGATACCACAACGGGTGATAATATTTTCAAACTCCAAAATGTTATCACCGGGGTGTGCTATCTTGTGTCATACACGGTAATGGTATGCATATGTGTACGTGTGTCTTCATCCTTACTTCCCCCCCTGACACGCACAACAATCAGAATGTTCTGGGGTGGCTCAAGCGAGGCGGCTGTACGGAGCTGCTCGCGAAGGCCGGCGAGCTCGGGGTAGTGGGCATCCGGCGCGCCTTTGGCGACTTCTCGAACGCGACCGTGGCCTCGAGGCAGGACGAGCTGCAGAGGCACGGGTTCGACCTCGTGCACACGGTGCACCCGGCCAAGGGGAAGAGCAACTCGGCGGACATCAGCATGACGATAGACGTGATGGAGAGCTGCAGGTGAGAGAGAGGAGAGAGAGCAGGCGTGGAACGTTGGTTGGTTTGTCTCTGCTGTGTCTTCTTTAGGTCCGCCGACGTCTACAGCAGTAGCTGAAGATTGTTCTCAGCGAAGGGTGTGCGGTTTCAGTTTAGACGACCACCTGGTATAGTCCGTTCTCACCTACGCTTGTTGTGTTGGTTTGCGGGCACCTGCTGGCTCTAAAAGTATGTAGCGATTTGATCACCCTTGCCCTTTGCGAAACACTTGTCCGTCATGCGTAGTTGCGGGTTGACGTCATGGCGCAGACGCCGCCCTTTGGGGGGGGGATTGTTGCCGGGTCTGGACACGGTCGTACGATGCTGCGAAAGAAACCTTATCCTCGTTGGTTGGAATGGCAGGTCCGGTATGTTTTGCTTCAGCTGGGAGAGGAGGCAGAGGCGGAAGCGGACGGCCCATTGCTTGTCCGCTCCAATCAGTCGAATGAAATCAGGGGCACTCACACTAATGTCATCGATCAGACTCTCTCATGCGCGCACAAATGGCCGTACTAGACTTTCACCACTTGGAATGAAAACGTTCGGAAGCTCCTCGCTCATCTCCGGCCTCTCTCTCCCTTCCCCTTGTCTCTCTCTACCGCTCTCTCTCTCTCTCTCTCTCTCTCTCTCTCTCTCTCTCTCTCTCTCTCTCTCTCTCTCTTCTGTCGCTCTTGTGCCCCCCACACGTGCCACTTCCACCACCGCCATTCCGCGCGCGGACAACCATCACCTCCCCACAAAACCCCGCCGTGTCGCAAGGGGCCCGGACATCCAGTGGGTCATGCTTGCCACCGGAGACTCCGACTTCGGCCCGGTGTTCCGCCGCCTGCGAGAGCTCGGGAAGGGTGTAGTCGGCGTCGGACCCTCCTCCGTCCTGAGCTCGTCAGTCGCGCTCTCGTGCCACGAGTTCATCTTTACCGACGACAGCAGCAGCAGCAGGAGGAGCGGCAGCACCAAGAAGGGGAGAGGGAAGGGCGGAAAGGGGGACCGCTC